GACCCATGTGTCAGTGACTCAAAGGTAGGCTAGCCCACAGCAGTGGATCCTCATCCACCAGAACTATGGAGTACAGTAGCATTGAGTGCTCTATATATATGGGGGAAAAGTACCCTTGACCCGACGCATTACAATTCTTCGTAAGTTCCTATACAGAAAAGCTGACATGGCAACCAAGGATAAACTGATAAATTTATCTACATAAGTATGCTAGAGGACTAAAAAAATCTAAAATGTTCCTTGTATTGGTTTTTGAGTTCGAAGCCCTAAAGAGGTTCTTGTATTTTTTATTTTATTTTTTGCACATGTACACAGACTTAATAAAATACCCAGTCCTACTACTCTCTATTGAGCACTACGACGGTGAGAATGCTCAAAAGTTCCTTGATAGATAGCAGTGCTCAATCCACTGAAGTTGATCAAGCCCATGCTGCTCTTAAACCCCTTTTTTTGGCGAGTCCTCTCAAAGCTATATGAGCTAGTGACCATATAATCACTAAAAGTCGTACATGTAGATCGTATTCAGTATATTTTTTTAGTACAGTGATCAAAATAAGCTTTTGACCAAAGTTCAACGACCAAGAATGCATTTTACGCTTTTTAAAAAAATTGTAAGAATTTATAATTCATATTGCGGGTGCCATCTGCCATTGGCTTGGGATGCGACGGGAGCCAGAATCCGACCGTCCAAGCGCCAAGGGGACCAGCTTTCCCTCGCTGACAGGTGGGTTTAGTTTTCCGGATAGAGAACTAGGCTGCGTTGATTGGTATATGACATGTTGACATTTTGACTTGTCAACTAAGCTCTAATATAGAGCTACACCAGGAGCTAGTGACGTATAATAATTACTAAAAAATACCCCCTCCGTCTCATAATATAACAACGTTTTAATGTCAAAAACATTCTTATATTATGAGACGGAGGGAGTACTTTTTTAATAAAAATATAAGATGTTTTTTTAGAGTTGCACACGCATAATAAATGTCTTATATATCGTATTCTTGACAGTCACCAAACTGAGCATTCCACCCAGGTTCATCGACCAAGAAAGCATTTTACTCAGTCGGCTACATTAGGATTAGGATTAAGAGGAAAGTTCGCTTTTCTTTCCTTGGAAGAAAGAAAAGCGACTCGCCGCCGCCAGGAGTGTCCATCGTTGCTGCCCTCTGGCGACTCCCCTCCGTCGATGACCTCGGTCGTCGGTGGTGAAGGGGGTCGACAAATCCAAGTGTGTGTCTCGTTTTTAGACTCTCATAGTTTAGGTTTTTAGACGGTTTATCGTCGTGCCTTCGGCGGCGGCAATGGCGGCGCTGAATAAAGATTCTTCAGATCCTCCTCCACCGAGACGATCAGTACTATAGTTGGGGATGGATTTGAAAATCAGTCTGTTCAAGTAATTAAGGATGGCATGGAGGCGGCAACATCCTCTTGGTGCACATGTGTCCTCGGGCTCCGTCGTCTTGACGGCGTTTGCTCCAGCGCCGACGCGAAGCTTGGGAGGTAGTCCAGGAGCGGATGCAGATTGTGGTATGCATGACGGCATCTGGAAGATGGTGGATCGTGCGCTGGGTTCGTGGTTCGTGGATGGCGGGTATGGTTTTCTCCCCCAACGTCTTAGTCTTGTGAGGGTGCCAACTCTGGAGTTCGATGACGTGTCCGGGGTGTTGCCTCGATCTGATTCGTTTGACGGTAATACTGGAAAATTTGTATCGTTTACTGCCTTCCTTTGACTGTTTCTAATTTTCAAGCAAATATGTCCCTACTGCAAACTTGTCGTGAAATACTCTTCAGTTTATACCTGTCACTGCAAATTGTTTATTTGAACATTATATTATCATCTCACTTGCTGAACTCTGCAGTAGTACTGTGTGTAAAGGTCAGATACAAACATCTCGGAGTAACATGAATATAACCTTCACGAAACTCAAATAGTTACATAACTGACCTTTATCTTCAATGCATTTGATCTAATGCAGTGATGTTATTGTAGAAATTGTATCCTTGTAGTACACATACTTTGTCCTCTACTAGACAGAGTGTATCTAGCATGCTTATTCAATTCACTCATATAGTACCTTACTGAGCAACATGCAGGATATATTATGGAAGCGAACTGATGAAGGAGTAGGGATCTGGAGGAATGGGGATTGCAACTGCTCCATCAAGCATTTGTGTCACCTTCAGCATGTTGGGTCGCATGGTCGGGCCCTCCTGGAGGCACCATAGTGCTACTGATAGAAATCTTTCGACCTTCTTAATGTTGAAGATTGCGTCATCGTCACACTCCACCAGCAAGTCGAACCTCCGACACCTATAGCAGTCATTTGCCCAGTAAGTCAGTATCGTCTACTCTTCATCAACTACCTCCAAATCAACATTTCTTCTGCAGCAGACAAGCTCGAGTAGGATCACTCCAAAGCTGTAGACATCAACCTTGGCAGTGATCCCGATGTTCTTGAACCACTCTGGGGCGACATATCCTCGAGTACCTCTAATACCGGTGTTTGTCCTTGTCTGATTTCTCAAGAGAAGCTTCGCTAGGCCAAAGTCTGAAATCTTTGCGACAAGGTTGTCGTCAAGAAGAATGTTATGCGGCTTTATGTCACGGTGGATGATTTGTGTGCTACACTCTTCATGCAAGTAGAGCAACCCTCTTGCCACCCCAAGTGCGATATGAACCGGTGTGTTCCAATTTGGCCGGGCGTCGTTAAAGAGAAGCCGGTTGAGTGAGCCATTGGTCATGAACTCATAAACAAGCAGTCTCTCAGTTCCTTCATTGCAGAAACCAAGTAGTCGGACCAGATTCTTGTGGAACATTTGTCCAATGGTTTGGACTTCTACCGTAAAATCCTTTTCAGTTTCTTCTTGGAGCTTGTCGATCTTCTTGACAGCGATGTGGGTCTGGAGATCATCTTGTAACTCACCCTTGTACACAACACCAGAGGCACCACTACCGAGGACCTCATGGAAACCACTGGTTGCTTTCTCCAGCTCTTTGTAAGTGAAGGTCTTCAGGGGCAACTGAGTTGTACTTGAGGCTTGGGACAGCGGACCATTCTTCTTTCGGGTGATATGACAGTAAGTACCAAACACCAGAATAGAGATGAGGAGAAAGTTCACCAATATGGAACAACCAAGAAACAAGGAACTCCCAAGGATCCAATACTTTTTGTCCTGCTTCCATTTTTTGGAGGCAGTACTGAGTGCAGACTCTGAATTATTGCTACTTGGCACCTTGAGAAGCACCGTTCTCTGGACATAGTCGGCCATATTCCCATTAGACAAAGGGAGCTTCTTTTTCCAACATGTGCGTGTGCTTTCATTGTATACGGCCAAGGCACAGAAACAATCGATCCGACACAGCCTCCCACAGTCATCCTCTGCTATGGGCTGATACTGCTCGTAATCAGATAGCGGCCAATCTACACCAGAAATTGGTCTCAGCTCAAATTGTGCCAGTGTTGCGGCCTCATCCAAGTCGCAGCTTTGCGGCTGAAAATCTTGTTGGCATCCTTTGTACCTCCTCTCCTCATCAAAGAACTTGTACCCTGGTGAGCAGGCACAACTTAATATCTGGTTCTTGGTGCCATCGAAGGTGCAGTAACTATTGAAGCCACAGACGCCACTGCCAATACCTGTAACTACTGCATGGCAGATATTTTGGGGAAGTAAGCTCACTGCACTCCACATCTCACCACTGAACACACTGGACTTTGGATTCTTTGGGTATACATATTGCCGGAAAACACCATCCGAGTCAAGTGTAGCACGGTGGAAGTAGTCTGCCATAGATCCTAGCACACCTGATGTGATGTTGATCTGGGTGCCATTTGTTAGGAGGAAGTATACTCTACCAGTTTCATTGAACAACAACTGTGAGCCATTCCCTGCTGTCTCTGTGAACCAATAAGACTCATACTTGAACCCAGAGGGCTCAGCAACGAGAGAGATGGCCAGTGGTGTCGAGTCGAGCATGGAGTGACTTGTTATGAGTCTGGTTACAAGGCAGCAACTGGGTAGGCAGGATGGTGTCTGACGGCACATCAAAAGTCTGCCATTTTGTGTTGCCGTCTACACCAGCGAGCACAAAGTTGCCACTATCGCGCATGCTGGCCGAGGTCACATCGGTTTCCTAGGGATTCCAGACCTCCACACTGGAGGGGTCATGAAGCGAGAGTGCTCCATCTGTGGTGAGTTGGAGGATAGAGCCAGATGATACCTGTATCGCTGATGGATCTTGGTCCATAGTCTTGGCATACCAAGCGACCGTCTT